TCCAATTGAAATGTTTCTGCTCCGAATGCACCTTTCGCTTCAATGGCTTGTACACGACGTCGACAACACAAACAAAGCAGCCCCAAACCGGCTGTGCATACAATAAAAGCCAATAGACGAAGGAATCCAAAACACGTACACTCTGTTTCTGGATTGTATTGTCGAATATAGTCAATATCTTTGAGAAATATCATAGTATCTAATCTTGCGGCTTGTCCACAGCATTTACAACCCCCACAGCATTTATAAACAGCATATCGTTTTAACAAACGCATATTTGTTAATGTAACAGTAACTGTATCTTGACAACAACACCCACAAAGCCCACCAACTTTTACTTCATACGGTCTTACAGGTTGTTCTCCAGGTAAGTAATGAAAGATATTTTCAGGCGGTATCGGTTGTGTTGTTATTGGCTCCATAGCCATATTATTGATTCGCGACCTGAAACAAACATACTTTTAACTTTTTGTGCTCAATACAAACCAGTATGCATCCATATGTTATAATTTAAGTTTAATGTATTGAACAGACTTTTTTCTAACTTAATAACTAAAATAGCAAGCGACACTTACATCACACTATATTTAAAAAAAGCTTTTATTTGCTGTAATTTTGTCAAAACCTTCGCTTTGTTCTCTAATTATATCTTATTAAATAATTTTGTTTTATATAGTGATAACAATAAAAGAACAAGGGTCATGGTTAGTATCAGATAATGTATCACATAAAAAATTCTCTCGACTTTCACTCTCGTTTTTATTAGTAGAGGCCTTCAGAGAAAAAAGACAAATTTTTTATCTTCAGTTTGTTTTCTTATAGTGGGACGGTACACCTGTTTACACAGTTGTATCCCTAGTGATTATAATACCTAGTGTCTAGTCTACCAGTATGTGACAGCCGCTTTTTTGAAGATCTCTACTGGTAAGAACACAAGATTGAAAGTGAAGGAAAACTAAAAACGCTAAACTACACGTTTACACCACTAAAAACGTTTTGGATTTTCAGTTCAAAATAGTGGATACGAACCGCCGGATCATATTCTACAAAACTACACAAGTTTAAGAGCTTCGTTCTTTTTCGTTTGGTAGCTATAGGCATTTTGCTTGCGGCCACTATCCTAGAGAGTGACCATTTTTAGGATTTGGAGCCTCAGTAATATATGCAAAGATAGGTTTTCAACCATGCCGCATCTCGTGGCAGTGTTAGTGTTTAGAACAAAATGCAAGATCTGAATAAAAACCTAAACTAAGTGGAACAAGCCGTTTTTGATGATATTCGTCAAACGTTAAAAAGTTCATAACTCAGTCAATATCGAGCCACACCACTACAGAATATCAACATACAATCTAAAGGGATGGACACATTAGAAGACCATCCCACAATAAAATATATTTTAATAATCAATATATTTTGTATAATTGATATATTTTGTAATTACCATGAAAGAAGTAGTAATTTTTCTACGTATTCACACACAAACCTACCAGCAATGCAAGTTTTTCGACCTTCAATATTAAGATCATATAAAAGTCTTCTCAAAATTTTAAAATCAAAAAATCGGCTTCTAGCATTTCCCGCATTTTTAAATTCTCTTTCACATAAGAACAAAACTTCAGGCTCTAGTTGCATCATTATGATGGAATTACTGGGAACCTCATAATATCTCGGAAACGGTACGCGGGAGAGACTTCGCGTTTTGGCGTTTGCTAGTTCTACATGAGTTACATCTTTTGTCAAATTTTCATGAAAATTTAATCGTGGGAAAGCAATCTTCATTTCTGAAGGATAAGCACTAAGATCAATTCTCTTCCAAAACATTGACTTTTCTAAATTATTCAGTTAGCTCACTCAGTTAAACGTACTTTTTTAAGTTCACAGCGTTACTTACAAAATTGATTCTGACTTTGAAATTTCTCAAAACTTGTTTTTGTTTATAAAAACATGTCTTAAAGTCTTGGCTATACACTACTGAAAACCGCAAGATTCTAACCAAAATTATTCAAGAAATAGTTACGGACACTGTATTTTGGAACGGATAATAGTCTCAATCATAATAACTTGATTCTTATACAGAAATATAGCAAAATTAATTGTTTACGAAATAAGCGTAAGCACAAAGTGTATTCTCATTTTCTAAATTAAAACTTTGTTCATGAATGGGAAAAGGTGAAAAAATGAGAACTGTTTTAGGTAGTTATCAATTATCTATTAATTGTATTTCAGTGTACCCAATCATATGAATTTGGCTCTTGTATACAAATACAGAGAATCTAATTCTCTACAAAATGAGCATAAATATCAAATAGATTCTCATTTATGCGTGGTTATGAATTACAGAAGAAATTTTTTTTCAGTTATATTTATAGTATTGAAGAGGTAGATCTGGATATTATCGCTAAAAATAATGACTTTTTCATGAAATATCTTCACAAAAAATATTACTAATGGTCTGAATGCCTGTCTTTTACATAAGCTTTTTTTGAAGATAAGCTAAAGTTAATATTCGGCTGTTTTAGGATCAAATATATATCCCTACTTTAATCGGTCAGAAAAAGAGGAAACTTTTGCATGCGTAACTTAGTCAAAAGAGTACCAGAAATATTTCTCTAAAATCAATTTTTGATGTTACATAATGTAATATTGAGATGTAGAGTAAATTAAAATATCAAATATACACTTTTTAAACATGCTTGTGGTTCTACATCAACGTAAATATATTTTGTTTAATTTGGTAAAAGTGTAAATGCTAAAGCTTTGTATTTTCTTTCTATTAAAACAAAAATCCAAGTATGAAATGTGACTGATTCTGTTTAATTGGTTATTATATGCAAAAGGAACGTATTTCGATGAGTGTTGGGCTACTAATATGCATGACATTGTGGGAAAAAAAAGATTTTTTACCTTTGGTCCGGCAATTGTGTGGAATTTTTCTTTTTCTATCGCAGCAGTGCGTCACATAGACTATTCTTATCTGATAAGACTTGCTTGAGAAAAATATTTACATGTTGAATGTCTTTTATGTCAATATGAATAACATGATGTTCTATTTTATTTACTGCAATAAATATGAAATAAGAAAAGGGTGATGTGATGTTTTATAACAGATGTTATTGTTGGTATTTTTTTTGTTTATCCATACATCCTTTGAAAGACCGATGGATGTTTTCCGTTTTAATAAACGATCTTTTCCTCATTGTCTTTTCCTCACGCATTTGCAGTAGACCAATTTGGGTTTAGTTTATTTTCAAAAAATCGGCGTTCCAAAATGTTTCCGATATTTTTTATTTTGTATATAACTCAGTCTGAATATATGATAGAGATTTGATTTACTTGTTAATAGATGCACAATTTAACTATTTATAAATCTTCTTTGTACAGGGTATCCCAAAACTCACCCCACAACAAAAAATTTTAATAACTCCACTATTTTTTAGCCAAACGTCAAGCTTGTTTTTTTATCTGATTGAGAAATGTTCCCAGTTTAATTTCATACGATTCGAAACGCTCGTTAATATTTGAAAAAATGTTTGGGTTTATTATAGAGAAATTCAGATAGTTTGGAATTCATTCTTAATAAATTATGTACTGCAAAACTTTTTGAAAAGAACATAAATAATTTTTAACATTAAAATAAAGCAGATAAAGAAATTCACATAATGAAATAATAGTTTGGTTTTGTTTAAAAATGATCGGTTGGTGTCGATTTCTTCAGGCATTGGATACTAGCATCTGGAAAGTGTGCAAAAAAGTAATAAAAATATTCTTCCGATAAAGTTAACTAATAAAAGAAAAAACTACTAGTGGAATTTCATATAAAGAAGGTAGCCCTATAAACTGGAATAGTTTGAAAGCCTGTAAAAAGTTGCATTAGACTATTATAGAAGCCGCAATCCATAGATCATGCTAATATGGAGAAATTAACTTCTCGTGGCAAAACTTTAAGTTGAACAAAACGTTTAAATATGTGGGATTGTAGAGCAACCTGAGTTCTACAAAATGAGACGTAATGCGACTCTGACAAAGATTCTATTTAATTAAGACAAGCTCACCAATCTTTACACACTAGTACAAGTACTTACACACAAACATATGTTGTACGTTTTATTATTTATCGGTACTGGTCTTCTTTTATTTCCGATCGTATGAAATAAAACTTGGAACGTTTCTCTAATTTAACCAAACAAAAAAACAAGGCTGAAGTTTGGTTAAGAAACGGCGAAGTTATTAAAATACTTTATTGGGAGGTGACTTTTGGGGCATCTTGCACTACATTGTGCTCAAGGAGTATAAAAGCTATGGTATATGGGACATTTCTGCGGCACTTTTGAGAAATATGCAAAAATCACTAGAAATGACGTAATAGTTAAAAGTAGAATTTATTTTCTCTATAAAGCTCTCAAATTTTGTGTGCAGATTCTTTTTATTTTTATTTTTCGTTTCCTATTTTGCGTGATCGTAAAACAGTATGCTCATAGGGACTTGTGATTGTTTCGTGATTTGATCCAGTAAGGATTGCGTTTGTTGGAATTTGGCAGTTATATCCAGTTATTTGCATGGATTATGTGGTTTTGTGGTGTGATTTTTAGTAGATCATGGTGGTGGCTGTTTTTTGTCTTCCTTCTTTTAGGTATCGGCAAAGTTGGGACACCTGTCGTGAGGCGTTGTTACGAAAATTTTGCTCATTTTTGTCTATTATCAAAGAATTAATATTTTACAAGTAAAGTCTTAAATTACTTTTTTCTTCCTTCTGTTGTTTTGAGCTAACAATGAACACATACGGCTCTACTTGTGATTTCTATAACTTTGCAAAGAAAGGTCGTGTAAAGCTGGGGGATGTGTCTCATTTTAATCAGAAAGTTGCGGGCTACAGTCATGCCTCATTAAGAAAGGTTCTGGTTATATTTCAGAGTTTCTGAAAAACTGGTTTTCAAGAAAATCGGACCTTCGAAAGGCTAGGGCAATCCCCATGGTCATATTTGGAATGAGCCTGGTCGGTAACCTATAATCCACCAGATTCCGAGCAAAAATCGTTTTATCACCTTGAGAGGTTCCCTCGACAGTCTACTCTGTTTTCTGTAGATGTCGAATTCAAAGAATTCGTTTCAGTGGTGAATTTTTATTAACAGTTCATATTAAAATTTTTAATGTGAAATATCACTAACGTCACTAATATTTTCTGAAAGTTGTATAAAGCTCGGACGTGACAAGCAAAACCAAATTCTAACAGAGAGTGATAAAAGATGCTTATCAGGTTATCATTCCAATTAGTCAATATTTTTTTGTGTAGGATTCTCCACTGACCATAGATGTACTTAACCCTTTGAGTCCGGGTGGTATACATATGTACCACCTTGAGAATTTTCTAATCCTCGAGTTTTTCAGAATCTTGGAGGAATATTTTCAATAAATATTAGAAGCCCATAGAGGCCCGTATATGCTTGCACGGATGATGAGATGTATGGATAATATTGAAAAGTGTACAATGCCAAGTTTCTTTAGTCCGAAAAAATGTTTGACTATATAACTTGAATTTTAAAAAATTAATATCATAACTGATTACGTTATCATATATGACCTATTTCATTAGTCATCATAGTTTCTGGAGCTTTCTAGAAACTCCTATGGACTACTCGATACTAGGATATATATACACATTGAGTATTGTATATACAGATTAAAAACAGACTAAAGTCAAATTGATGCATTACATGTACAACGACAAATATATAATGGATTCAAATTCTGATGACAGTATATCGGATGCAAATGAAAGTACAATTAGTCCGGATGAACTTAACAACAGCAGTTCTGAAGATGGTGATTCATTGGTTGAAGAACTCGATCAAAATTCAATAAATGAATGGAAATGGAACGTAGACAATTTACACTTTTCTACTTCTTTTAATTATTTTGATGGACATGCATTAGACAACAGCAATACAATCAGTCTAACAGACTCATTGTACAAGTTTATAAGTCAAGATGTGATCAAACAAATATTTATGGAAAGCAACGTTGTGTTCAACAAGGTGACAACTGCACAAAATGAAGGGAAGTTGATGAAATAGAAATATTGGCATTTCTTGGAATTTTATTTATTATGGGATTTCACAAGTTACCAGGGATTAGAGACTATTGGAGTAATGATAGGAACTTATTTACACCTGCTGTTGCGAATATAATGACTCGGGACGAGTTCTATAGACTTTTCTCTAATATTCATCTGGCGGATAGATCCAAAATGCCTTCAAAAGAGTCTCGTGATTAGAATAAGTTATATAAAGTAAATGATTTTCTAAATCTTTTGAGAAGAAATTTTCAACAGAATTACGAGCCTGGATCGTGTATTTCAATAGACGAGTCAATAATAAAATTCAAAGGAAGATCTTCTATAAAACAGTATGAACCATTAAAACCAACTAAGAAAGGATATAAAGTATGGGTTTTGACCGAGTCAACTACAGGATATGTATATAACTTCGAAATTTATACTGGAAAAGACACGAAACGACATTCGTCATTAAGAGAACATGTCGCCATGACACTAATACATGAAATAAATCTAAAGAATAGCCAATTGTTTTTTGATTGTTATTTCAATTCCTTACCATTGCTTTATAACGTGAAGAAAATGAATGTTCCAGCTACGGGTACAATTCGTTCAGATAGAAAATATTTTCCACTTGAACTAAAGAAAGAGGAAAAACTTGAAAGAGGCGATTATCGATATATGACATCTAATGGAATATCTGTAATAAAATGGATGGACAAAAAGG